CCAAGTTGGCGAATATGGCGGAATGGTTAACGCGCTAGCTTGTGGAGCTAGAGTTCGTGAGTTCAATTCTCACTATTCGCCCCATTAGAAAAATATGGGGTTCTTTAATTTTGTTTTCTCCCCCTAAAAGAAAAGTGTTTTCATAATTGAGTTCGGTGGCGTGTTTATTTCTAGTTTTGTATTTGACTAGTTTTTTTGCCACCGAACAACATAATTAGTAAAAATAAAACAGCAGTTATTTTTATGTTTAGCATACAGGAAGTAGAAATAGAAAGTCTAAAAATGGACCTAAAAGAACGCGAGAGAGAAAAAGATAGGACATGAGAAAGTTTTTGGTGGATTTGTGAATTTTTTTGCCATTTTTAGGTTGAATTATCTTAGTAATTGTGCTGATAGGAAAATTAAATAAAAGTGCTCGATTAGAAAGAGAATGTAATGAATTGCGAGAAAAAATTAGAGAATTGGAAAGAGAAATTCGAGCAGAAAAATATCAAAAATAAAAATTATTAGAGTAATATGCAAGTGAAATGGTATGACTGTGGACGGTTAGTAGCTTCCCAAGAAAAAGCCGTGCAGCAAAAAGTAGGCGACAGAAATGTTGGTGGTTGCTTCAGGAATAGTGTTAATTGTCGTTATTTTTTATCTAATTGTGGGAGGGAGAGATAAATAGTTCTTATATGAACCAGGAAAAAGAAAAAGAAATTATTGAACGGTTTACCGAAAATCTCAATAAAAACGCCAAAGTTAATGAGTTGGCGGTAATTGGACGTGAAGGGGAAATTAAGCAATTAATTTACGTCTTGTCGCGAATGATGAAAAATAATCCATTGCTGATTGGCTATCCTGGGGTAGGGAAAACAGCTTTGGTAGAGGGATTAGTCCAAAGAATCAAACAAGAACAAGTTCCCGATTATTTAAAAGGCAAAACTGTTTATCAACTTGATATGATTTCGCTAATGGCCGGAACTAAGTTCCAGGGTGAATTGGAAGAAAGATTAAAAACTATCTTCAATTTCATGGCTCAGCCAGAAAATAACGCTATCCTTTTTATTGATGAAATACATTTGATTGTGGGAGCCGGTCGTAATCAGGGAGCACTTGATATTTCTAATCTCCTCAAACCGATGCTTTCCCGGGGTGAAATTCAATGTATCGGAGCAACAACCCAAGAAGAATATCGACAATATATTGAAAAAGATGGGGCATTAGTGCGCCGTTTTAGTAATATAGTAGTACCTGAACCGAGTCAGGAGGATACATTAAGAATTTTGCAGGGCATTCGCAATTATTTTGAGATTTATTACGAGTTGAAAATCTATGACGAGTCATTAATGGCGGTAGTGAGGTTTTCGCAACGTTATTTAACAACAACTTATTTGCCCGACAAAGCCATTGATTTACTGGACGAAACTTGTGGGAGAGTAAGAAGTGAAATGTGATATGAGCCAGAGATAATTGAGAAAACTAGGCGAAAATTAAGGGAGTTAGAAATAAATATGGCAGCGCTTCGAGAAGAAAAAAGTAATGAAGTAAAGGAATTTTCTCTCCAACAAGAAATAAAAAATCAGAGAAAAAAATTAGAAGAATTATTAGAGTTAGATAAGAAAGAAAATAAAATTATTCGGGAGTTGAATAAAGTCAAGCGAGAATTAGCCCAAGTCGAAAAGGAGTTGATTATTTATGAAGAAAAAGAAATTGACTTCACCAAAGCGGCCGAGCGAAGATATTCCATCATACCTTCTCTAAAAGAAAAAGTCAAGCAATTAGAAGAAGAAGCGAGCGATAATGTATTAAGAAAATATTTCATCAATCAGGAAGATATTGCTTTAACGATTGCTCGGAAATATGATTTGCCAGTGGGAAGAATTTTGGCTGATGAACAACAAAAATTGCATTTTCTTCCTGTTATTTTTCAAGAGAGAGTAAAAGGACAAAACCAAGCTTTGCGTACAGTTGCTGACGCTATTTTTCGGGCCCGAGCCGGGGTTCAGGACCCACATCGTCCTTTGGCGTCATTTTTGTTTGTTGGGCCAACGGGTGTGGGCAAGACCGAAGTGGCTTTAACCATTGCCGAACAACTTTTCGACCAAAAAAAAAATCTTATTCGTTTAGATATGACTGAGTTTTCAGAACCTCATTCAGTTAGCAAGCTTATTGGTTCTCCACCCGGCTATATTGGCTTTGAAGAACGACCGCGGCTAGAAATTATTCGGGAGCGAATGAATAGCGTAGTGCTTTTTGATGAAATAGAGAAAGCTAACTCTGAGGTTATTAACATTCTCTTACAAATACTTGATAATGGTTTCCTTACTTTGGCTAATGGTCGAGAGGTTAATTTTCGTAATACCATCATCATTTTGACTACTAATTTAGGTTCCGAGTTGTATTTTGAGGGTAAGGAAATGAAAGAAATAAAAGAGGAGTTGGACTTCGAATTAAAAAATCATTTTCGTCCGGAATTTCTCAACCGACTTGATGAAATAGTTTTCTTTAATTCTTTAACACCAGAAGTCATTAGAGAAGTTATTAATAAGGAACTGGAATTATTCATTCGCCGTATCTCTCAGGAGAAAAATGTTAAATTGCGATATGGTGAGGAAATAGTAGAAAAAATCCTCCGCGAGGCTTATTCTCCGGAGTATGGTGCTCGTCCGATTAAGCATTATATCGAGAAAAAAATTGGTACCTTGGTCGGGCGGGGGATTATTTCTCAGTTTCTCCACTTTGGTGGAAATTACCTTCTCGATTTAGAAAAAGAGACCAAGGAAATTAAAATAACCACTCTCCATTCACTAGAATCAGGAAAAAATTTATTTAAATAGTAAGTATGAGTAAAAACAAAAAGTTAGAAAAGGAATTAAATAATTCACAAAAATCACCCGAGGGTTCACCAAATTCTCCTCGTGATCAGCAAAAAAAAACTGAAGAGGGTTCCGAAAATAGGGATAATAAAAAAAAAAGTATAGAAAATGATAAGCAAATGGTCCAGTTGGAAGAAGAAAATATTAATTTAAAAAAAGAACTAGAAGATTGAAAAGAAAAAAATCTTCGGTTGCTGGCCGATTTAACTAATCAAAAAAAAATCCATCAAAAGGAAATCAGCGAGGTGTTAAAATATGGTAATGAAGGATTATTGTCACAACTCCTCTCCTTTCCTGATAATTACGAAAGAGCTCTGCAAGTTAGTCAGAACGAGTCCGACCCCAAAATTCAAAAAAAAATTCAAGACTTTCTAACAGGGTTTCAAATAATTTTGACCGAGTTTCGCAATGTTTTGCAAAGACGAGGGGTAGAAGAAATTAAAATTACTCCCTTAAAGGATACTTTTGACAGCAAGTTTCATGAGGCATTGGAAGTTGTAGAAAATAATGATTATCCTGACGGAACCATTTTACAAGTTTTACAAAAAGGTTATAAAATTCATGATCGGGTTTTGCGCCCGGCCACGGTGAAAATTAGTAAAATAAAATAAAACAACAAATAAAAATAGTAACAAAAAAAAGTTAAAAATTAATAATATGAATATGAAAGTAAGTAACAAAATTATAGGTATTGACCTGGGGACCACTAATTCTTGTGTGGCGGTTATGGAGGGAAAAGACTCCAAAGTTATCCCAAATAAGGAGGGGAAAAATACTACTCCTTCGGTGGTGTTTTTCGATGAAAAGGGCGAAAGAGTTTTAGCAGTCGGACAAGCTGCTAAAAAACAAGCGATTGTCAAACCCAAGCAAGTGGTTTTTGAGGCAAAACGGCTGATTGGTCGGAAATTTACTGACTCAGAAGTGCAAGAGTTTCGGAAAATTGCTCCCTTCGAAATTATCTCGGGTAAAAACGGCGATGCTTACATTAAAGTGGGTGAAAAAGAGTATCCACCGCAACAAATTTCGGCTTTTGTTCTGCAAGCTTTGAAGGAAGTGGCCGAAGAGTATTTGGGGGCAAAGGCTAAAAAAGCAGTAATCACGGTCCCAGCTTACTTCAACGATGCGCAACGACATGCTACCGAAGATGCGGGAAAAATCTCTGGCTTGGGAGTGGAGAGAATTATCAATGAGCCAACGGCCGCGGCCTTGGCTTATGGAATTGATAAAAATAAGCAACTTCACACTATTGCCGTCTTTGACTTAGGAGGTGGAACTTTCGATATTTCCATTATTGAAATCAATGAAGGAGTTTTTGAAGTAAAAGCGACTAATGGTGATACTTTTTTAGGGGGTGCTAATTTTGATCAAAAGATTGTCAACTGACTAGTCGAGGAATTTAAAAAAGAGGAAGGAATTGACCTCCAAAAAGATAAAATGGCACTGCAACGTTTAAAAGAAGCCGCTGAAAATGCTAAGCATGAATTATCTTCATTAGAAGAAGTGGACATCTCACTTCCCTTCATCTCGGCTGATGCTGCCGGTCCCAAGCATTTCCAAAAAAAGCTTTCCCGGAAAAAATTTGAAGAACTGGTGGCTGACCTTTTGGAAAAATTGGTTTCCCCGTGCGAGAAATGTATTGCCGATGTCAAAAAAAAGGATGACAAATTTGCCAAAAAAAGCATTGATGAAGTTATTTTAGTAGGCGGAATGACCCGCATGCCGGCAGTGCAAAAGAAAGTAGAAGAAATTTTTGGCAAAGAACCAAATAAATCAGTCAATGCCGATGAAGCAGTATCTCTCGGAGCAGCTATTCAAGGCGGAGTATTAGCCGGCGACACCAAAGATATTCTTTTATTGGATGTTACCCCACTCTCTTTGGGAATTGAGGTGCAGGGTGGTAATAATGATGTAATTATTCCTCGTAATACCACTATCCCAACTAAGGCAACTCGGGTTTATTCGACCGCAGAAGACAATCAGCCTAGCGTTCATGTTCGCATTCTTCAAGGGGAAAGACCAAAAGCTTTGGACAATAAAGTGTTAGGAACTTTCGAGTTATCCGGCATTCCACCGGCTCCCCGCGGTGTTCCCCAAATCGAAGTTACTTTTGATATTGATGCTAATGGTATAGTTAGTGTTTCGGCGAAAGACAAGAAAACTGGCAAGGACAACAAAACTACTATTAAAGATGCGAGTGGTTTAAGCAAGGAGGAAATCGAAAAAATGATTAGAGAAGCCGAAGAAAATAAGGAAAAAGATGAAGAATACAAAGCGAATTCTGAATTACTAAATCGTGCCCAAACTTATTGTCACACTTTTGAAAAACAAATTGAAGAGTTTAAAAAAAATAAGGATTTCAACGAAAATGATGAAAGTTTCAAAAAGTTTGAAGAAATGTATAAAGGATTGAAAGAA